CTCCCCCACCACCTCCCTGAGACAGAATGTACATGTCTGATGCACAGTAACCAGACGGTACTACAGTTGAGCATCAAAAGACTTTCAAGCCATACATGATTAGCCCAGGTATTTCAATATGGTGGGGGAGTGAAGAGTCCACACAAGATCAATCTAAACCTTCCTGGTGGACTTTGAGGCATGTGGGAAGAAGTTTCAGGGCACCTAAATTAATTAATTGGTCATGCATCCTTAATTAATCAAGGTGGTGGTTTAATAACAATGAAAATGAACTCATTGGGACAAAAAGTCAAAGCAGTGTACAGATGCTGCTCAGCCTAAGGTTTCTCTCCAGAAAGGACCTTGAAAGTACCCTGTAATGCTGAAGCTTGAAATGAAAAACGATGTAAATGGCATCTCACACTCTGTAACCCCATTTGAGCAAAAGTGTCCCTAATCTAAGGGAAAGGAGAAGCAAGCAACACTGGAAGAAACCAAAGACTCCAAGCCTTCACCTCTTTTCTCTAGGGCACAAAGGCCAAGGCAAAATGGAGTAACAAGTCTAAATCATCAGTTTATACACATGGAATGGGGTTTCAGAGTGGCATGATACTATTGAGACAGCTCTAAGGCCAAGTAAGCCTTAAGTACCTTAGTTCAGACCTTGGCAGAAACGGAGCAGCTACAATGTCTGATTCCTTTCCCTAAAGGTTAGGAGAGTATGGAGCCTAACTATTAAGTAGGGTGCTAAGAGTAGGGTACTCGATTTCATGCCACACTCGTAGAGCCAGGTCTTGTTCGGAAACAATCTATAGAAAGCCTGGCTATGGCTTGCTTGCAGGCACAGACAATAGAAAGACTGGAAAAGCCCATGTCAAAATAGCTACGATACAAAGACATATGAAGTAGCATTCAGAAAGGCAGGCCTAAGAAAAAGAGTAGTAGACACTGATTTTAAACAAATTCACTATGTTAGAACCACCTCTAAAGCACTCATATGGCAGTGCAAGGTAACAGGTGGGCAGTGCCATGACCTGCATTGGACCCTAACTACTGCTACATTTTAGATGACACAAAGAGCCTAAGCCCTAAAGATTGGAGAACTACAGCAAGTTGTGTCTCCTTGTAGGACACATTTCTCACTCCTAAGATGAAGGCTTGATGTGTGGTTTCTATCTGCTGTTAAGTGAGGCTGGTGGTCAATGTGGTCTGGAGGAACTGAGTGGTCAGCAGGACCTGGGCAAAGTGGGGCAAAGAATGATGAAATGGAGCAAGTTCAATGAGCACATAGAAACTACAGTCTGAGGCAGACACTCAAGTGCTCAGGAACTCCAAATAATCTAAAAAAAAAAGAGGTGAAAATGGAGTTGAATGAAGCTAACACTCAAAGTCCACACGGAGCTAAGAGAAGAGAAATACACAACATGTACCTGAAACTCAACCTTAAAACTGAGGAAAGGGCTTGCCTCAGCCTTCTTCCTCAAGTAGAAATCAATGAGAACTAGCTTCTTCGAGAACACCCAGGCTGCCCCCGGTGACTGGGGACAAATATCTAGAGGATCTGCTGAAAGAAACTTGCCACACAAAACAAGAAGAGAAGCGGCATCTCAATCCAGCAGCAGCGAGGTGTTTGAGAGGGGGAAATGACTCCAATTACATTCACGTTTTTTTTTCTTACAATGTAATGAATTTATTGAAGGTAAACCTCTGTAAAAGTTCAATTCAATATTAAATTTCTATCTATGATACAGCTATGGTACGACAAAGGTTTGTCTCTAGAATTTTAATGACTGGCATCAGAATGTGTTTTTAACTTTTTAAAAATTAAGTTTATTGGGGTAACATTGGTTAATACAATTATATAATTTTCAGGTGTACATTATCATTTGACATCTGTATATTCTATTGTGTGATTACCACCCAAAGTCGTTTCCTTCAGCTACCATATATTTGATCCCCTTTACCCACTTCACCCTCTCCCTACCCCCTTTATTTGATCCCCTTTACCCTATCTACCTCTCCCCTTTTCCTCCGCCCCCTACCCTCGGGTAGCCACTAGTCCATTGTCCATGTCCACGAGTCTGTTTGTTTGTTCTGTTCATCTGTTGCTTTTAGATTTATATCCCACATATAAGTGATATCATGTGGTTTTCAACCTTTTCTATTTGGCTTATTTCTCCTAGCATGATTATCTCGAGGTCCACCCATGTTGTTGCAAATGGCAGTATTTCATCTCTTCTTATGGCTGAGGCATATTCCATTGTATT